TTCACTATTTCAACCTAATATTTTGCTTTCAGTGATATAAAAATCATACATCGCGATCATTTTTGTCTCGAAAATGCTTATCAAACATTGTTGCATTACCGAATTTTGAAAGCGAGCACCCGGTGCTCACTCACTTCCTACACATGGTCTTTCCCGTTTCAACCTAATGTTTCGCTTTGAGTGATATACTTACCGTACTCACCGACCGTTTTTGTCTCAAAAATGCTTATCGAACTTTGGCGCACTAGCCTGTTTCAAAGAGAACATGTTATGCTCACTCTGTCTTTCTACATCGCATTGTCTACCTCAATGTAATATTTGTCTGGGAATGAGATGGAAATCATATATAGCGATCTTTGCTGGCTATACTAGTTCTAGTGCAGTTTGTAACGCTAGTTGATTTTCAAAGTGGGATTCCTGTATTCACATTTGGTCAGTTTTCGGTATGGCTTCGATGGTTTGATTCAAATCTAAGATTACTCTTAGGAACGAGATAGGAACGATATCTTGAGATTTATTTTACTAAGAAAGTGTTTGTTTGGAGATTTTGAAGTCTCACATTGGTCAAAGTGAGCATCTTAGGTGTTGGTGAGTATGTGGTTGTAGAGGAACGGTGAATTAGTTAGCCCAACTCACGCAGAGCGACGGATCACTAGTTCCTGGATAGTAGTAGCATTTACTAGATTTGGTCGGATACGGTCGGATCTAATATCTTCCGATATAAGGTAGGATTGAAATTTGTGTTAATTCGGTCAATCCGGCCGACGGATTTTGCGCCGACAAATGCCGGATTTGTCCGGTTCACAGGAGGTTTTTATGGGATCTTTCCAGATTTTGGTGAGACCGATCGATTCTGGGCATCGAATATCGGTGGTGTAGTGTCCGATGATTTCCGTACCGGACTATAGCCGAATTATGCGGATTCCAAAGGAATTGTTTTAGGTGGTGATGTCCGGTGTTGATCCGATGCAATCGGATTGTCAGATTGTAAAGGAATAATGGGTATTTGGAAGTAATTATTTTGGTTGATGATTTTCGGTGTAGATCCGTTGCAATCCGATTGTCGAATTTTAGATTATGATGAAGGATTTTTTTCCGGCAAGATCCGACTTGGAGTGAATTCAAAAAATTTGTGGAAATCTGTTGAAGTCCGATGTTATCTGGTTTACAATCTGGAATCATCCGGAGGTTTTCAGAAGATGGTCATGTCAGGATATGGTCGGATCCGATTATCAGTTGCGATAAGATCCGACCAGATCTTTTCCGGTGTAATCCGATCCGGAATCCTGTACATGAGAATCCGACATAAACTGGGTCGGTTCCGATCGGTCTTCAACGGAGTGCGTCGGATTCCGGAGTAATCTGGTGTCGGATCCGATGTGTTCCCGTACGGTCCACAAGTCGGATCGAATGTCCTGGGTAATAGAACAAATTCATCAATGGGAATTAGAATTAATCGGGAAAATTAAAAAAAAAGCACAAGAATATAGAGTAATTGTTGTTAAATTATCAGAAATATGTATTAATGATATTGAAATGAAATTTACAGATTTAAAAGAACAAATTAATCAAATTGGTGAAGAAAAAGAATTTAATGATATCGATGTAATTTATTTAAGGAACCAATTATCAGAACTTATAGAAGAATCAAAGAATCCATCAGACATGTGTATTAAAAAAGATTCACAAACATTTGGCGATATTTCAATTATTGCATCAAATAGTGAGTTGAGGGTGTGGGTGTGTGCGAGTATTACTTGGATAGTCGCACCACACCAATATCCACACCCACATCCTCGCAGACACATCCACACTCACATCCTCGCAGACACATCCACACTCACGTCCTCACAGACACATCCACACTCACACCAGTGGTAGAGGTGCATATTTATAATTCCGTTACAATGATGAAGAAAATCTTTATATTGCTGATTTTGGAAATAGTTGCATTCAAAAATTTGATGTACTTGTTTAAAGTTTTCATTTTTTTGATAAATAAAATAAAAGAATAAAAATAAAATAATGTAAAGGTGTTTTTTTTATTTTTAATTCATACTGACAATTCAAAGTAGAATTTCTTAAGAAAAAAGTTTCTCATTTGAATAACTTGAAATATTTTTTTAAATAATAAGAAAGGTTTCTTATCAAATTGTTAATTAGTTTCAGAAGATCAACATTTTAACAAAAATTGTTAATTATTTACATAAAAATTATTAAATTCTAATTAAAGTTATTCAAGATTTATTGAATTATATTAGATTTTATTGAAGTATTTCAATTCTTATTAGATTGAAATGATTCTATATGAATTATTTTTTAATATATTTATTTTTTGAAAATTTAAAAAAAACAAAAAGTTCCATTATTTCTTTTAGATAGAATGAGAACTAAGAGATAAATTAATTTTTACTTTCTTATCTAATAAATTTATAATTGAGAAGTTTATCGAGAAGAGTATTGATTATATTCGAAAGAATATAATAAAGAATCAATTTATTCGTTTTTTTTGTAAAATTGTATTTGAATAGAAAAAAATAATTTTCATATGTGACAAAATTCATTAATAAATTCAAGAACTTCTGTTTGATTAAAGAAAATTTTTAATAAAAATAAAATTCAATTATAATTATTACTTCAATTTGAAAAAGTATTTATTCGATATCAAATAATATTTTCATCTATAAGACATTAATTAAACCATTATTGATTATTTAAAATAAAAATAAACTCAATTACATTTTAATAAAATTCTTTAAAAAAATATTTCAAAATATAGAAGATTAAATTAATATCTTATTTGAAATATATATAGATATATCAAAATGGTTTTAATTTATTTCAAAAATATACCACATCAAACAAAATCTCTATGAAAAAATCGATTTTAAATAATAAATCTTTTTTTCAGACATGTTTTATGATGCGAAATAGTGTTGTTATATAATATTTTTTGTTTTGATTATGAAAATGATCATTAACTTCAATCATCGCAGGTATATGGTAGTATCATTATTCTGCAGCTTTTTATATCGAATCTTTTATTAAAAAATTCATTTGATATTTTCAATTTCATCAGTTCACAAAACAAAATTATTTCCAGCTATCAACAATCTTATTTTTCTTCATTTTATTTACTTTGTATTTTTCATGTTGTCCCATTATGAAAGACTAAAAATTCATTTGATCAAAAATAAAAATGTTTTTTTTTGTTATTTTTCTTCTCTCCTTCGCTTGAAATGTTTTGTTACATTTCTTTTTTAAATCAAATGTATAGTTGAAAAGAAAGACACAAAACATAAAATGTTATTCTTTTATAAAACAGTCAGAAGAATTTATTCACCGAAAAAGAAGTTCAAAGTAAAACGTACGAATTAATTCTTATTTTATATCGAAATAATTTTACAAAACATCAGGAGTTTAGAAATTCGATTATTTGAAATAGTTTCGTTTTGGTAAGTTCTTTTTTTTATAAATAGAATGAAAAATGAGCATAGAGAGTATCACAGGACAACTATCTTTAGAATAAAGATGAAAATAGACGAAAGTGAGGACATAGCTAAAGAATAGATAGACATGCAATCATACTCATCCCTTCACATTGAGTGTCCTCACTCACATTGAAATTTGCACTCAAGTCAAACTTTCAATAAACTTTGATTTAATTTTAAAAATTATATATATTCAACGGTAGAATGGTTTCTCCTAAATTTATATATGTACTTACATCTATCATATGGATGAGATAATAATGTATTTCTTTAATAGGACCTCAAGACTAAAATTTCTTTTTTATAAGATTATGTTTCGATATTATTTCAATGTGAAAGTGTATCGCTGCAATGTTGTGTCTGTCCAAACGTTGAATGAGAATTTGTTTTAAATATGAGAGATGTTTTGTTGAAATACCATAAAAAATTGAGATAGACTACCAGTTTATGTCAAAAGATAGTAATCAGGTATCGATCCTGAACTAAAGTTTGGGTGAAGATTTGAGATTTTTATAAGAATTCAATTCTTGTTATACAAAAATTCGTTTTAAATATCGCGAATGTATAACTGAAAAACAACCATGATCGAAAAAAATCGATCTTATTTATAAGAATTGTTTTTTGAGTAATTAAATCATTATGAACTGAGACGATTATAGACGCAGATAGTTAGGATGTGGTTATTTTATTTCACCCATATCCACATTCCACACACACCCTCACACCTTGCTAAAAACGTATGTAAGTTAAAACTAATTGTATAATTTAAATTTTAGTTATAAAACATATGAGGTATGTAATAAGAACATAAAGATCATTTATACTTTATTATTTAAATTAATTATCATTCCTATACTTATTGATATTCATCCGTAATTATTTTAATTTTTATTCGTATTCTCGATTATTGTTAATTGGGAAGCCTATTCAATTAAGAAAAATAATTTTTTTAATATTTTCATTGATTATTTTAGATTTCATTCATCATATATTTAGTTCTTTTATATAACTATAAAGAATATAAGAATAATGAATCGTTTTAGTGATATTGATTGTTCATTTAAAGAATTAAAACCTGTTTATGGTTATCGTAGTCAAAAACTTGTTACAATTGAAAAAGCATTAGAATTAATTCAATCTCGAATTGATGAATTACCATATTTTATTAAAATAGCAAAAAAATATTGTCATTATCCATCAGAACATGGTTTAACACATGATGAATCAGCATCAATTTATATTTATACAATGGAATGGGGTGAACAAACTTTATATCGTGTTTTAAATCAAACTTTAAGAAATGAAAATAGACATTTATTAAAAGTATGGTTTCCTTATTTGAAATTATTTGATACAGCATTAAATAAAATACCAACTGTAAAAGAAACTGTATGGAGAGGTATTCCTGAGGATATTGGAAAAGGTTTTCATGAAAATGACACAATAATATGGTGGAGTATTAGTTCATGCTCATCAAAAGTTAATGTTATCAAAGGATTTCTTGGAAATGAGAAAAATTCTACGACGTTTTTAATTGAAGCATTGAATGGTAAAAAAGTATCTGGTTATACAGCACATGAAAGTGAAGATGAAATCATTTTAAGAATGGGAACAGAATTTCGTGTAAAAAGTAATGCATTAGATCATCCAAACGGATCATATCTTGTTCATTTAATTGAAATTAATGATGATAATAATCATACAAAATTAGCATTATCGGTCAATCAAATACAATTATCAACAATAACAACAAACCAAATAAGCTCAAGTAAGTTTATTTCAATTTAGATTTTTTTTCAGAATTGAAATCTTTTGTGTGGAATCCGAAAATGAATCTTTCCTCACATTTACACCCATCTATAACAAACTTCTTGAATATTTTGTCGCGTTTTTGTTAAAGATAGATAACATCATTTTTTCATTCGATTGAAATTGGTTTATTTCACCCAGAGTTTTCTTACTTTTCAAGTGAAAAAAAATTTAAAGACATTAAAGGGATCGTCACTTTTGTTATAAGATAATTCTCTTGAGATAATAGTATTTATTGTTAAGAAAAGATCGTCAAAATGAAAGATTCTCTTTATAACACGATAGATGATATTATGAACTATCTATGAATCCATCAATAGATTTTTCTCTTTCTAGAACTGATAAGATTTTTATGATAAAAATATTGTAGCTTTAATAGTAATTAGAGATTCTAAAAGAACAATGCCATGAAACAATAAGTATGATTACAATACTACATGAGGGTCTGGTGTAGATGTGGATAAACATGCTTAATTTATTTGCTTAAATAAAAGTCTTTTATTAATTTTTACAAAGGCAAACTATGAAATGAAGAAATTTCTGTTCATTTTTCATTTTCATTTCAAAACATTTTTTGTATCGATTGAAATCTTTTAAAATTCATTTGAATTAAAATCAAATCGTTTGTTTATGAAAATGATTTTTGTTTCATTGATCAATTGAATTATTTAAGAGGAAAATGTTTTAAAGATAATTAAAATTAAAACGACGTGAGATGAAATCTTGTCAATGATAGAAGAGAAGAGAAGGGAAGCGAAATGGATAAATCGGATGTAGGTGTAAGTACAGGTATTCTATCACATTTTCATCCACACCCACACTCACCTTAAAACTTAATTCGATATACGTGTATATGTAAAATGATTCGTCCTAAGAAAACTTGATTGATAATAAAAGTTTCTTAGAAGAAAATTCTGAAATTTTATCATTTGATATTTTGAATAATTGTATCGTTATAAATAATAAATTCATCGAATGGATTTATTATCTGAATTTTTTTTATTTGATTTTCTTCTTATCTAATTCACATATTTTGTTATTATTTTAATTCCATTCATCAATTTCAACAGAGAAAATCTTTTCATATTAAAAAATTTCTTCTAAAAATATGATTTACTGAATATAATAAAAAATTCTTCACTTTTAGAATATTTTTATTAGACAAACATTTGAAACTTTGAGGAAAAAATTATGAAAAAATCTACAGAATTCTCTACAGATAAGAAGAGTTTTTCAGATAATCTTTTAAAGGAACCTATACAAGCATGAGTATCATAATAGAAACTATCTTGAGAGTGTGGACGTCACTATTATATCCATCACACACCCACAACCATCCTGGATTTTATAGAAAACCTAGTTGGAAAACATAGTATCCGGAAAGTTTTCCTCCACTTTCGCAGTTGTACCGCAACCTCCACTGCTCAGAATCTGCTAGCACGTGCTTTTACAATCTATTAAGACATAGAAACTATTTTCTAATCAATAAGTTAACACAGTCTCTATAATAAGTAATCAATAAAGTTCTTCTATATCAAAACTGTCTTAGAAGTTATAAAACTTCTTAATTTCCGAAAGTGTGGCGAAGCTTTTGTGTATTATGTTTCCCGAATAGAATTTCAGCGAAAGGCTGTTGGTGTTAGTGTGCAACTAGTAGATTCATAACCTTCACTCCGACACTCTCAATATCGCAGAAGTTCTTCAGATATAAGTTATAATTAAAAATGAAACTTAGTTTTCATTAATTCTTGATATGTGTTACTAATTTTCTTGTTTTCTGTAATGTGGTATATAACTAAGGACCATTTTTCATTTCGATTGACCTCTCATAATTTTTCTTCGTTTCTGAACATTTCCTATGATTTCTGATGATGTGTAACGTAGCCCAGGCAACGGAGGGTGTAGGAATCGAAATCACTGAAAACCACGAGGAATTAGAAAAAAAAACAGTTTTGTTCCGTTGGCATATACTGAGATTCTATGGGTAACCGGGTAATAGTCTCTAATTGTAGTGGAAATGCACGCACAACGACCCAGACTCTTTAGTCATAAATGATCGATTTTGCGTGATTATCCCTTGCAAAATCTTTTTAATTTGAATTTTATACAATATATTTTTCTACATTTGCAATCGCAGTTCCAGAATGCCGCAACGGTAGTCGATGTTATAGAGCTGATTGTCGATTCAACCATCCGGAGGAATGGAGTATTTGTGCTAATGGATATAAATGTGACAAATACGAATGTGATTCAATCCATCCACCTGGTCGCAAACAAAAATGCAAGCATGATAATACATGCCGAACTCCAAACTGCTACTTTCTTCATCCGACTTTGAGTGGAATAGGTAAAAAGCACGATTTTAGAGAGGTAACAAATTTAAAATATGGTAAAGTTCATTGAGTGAAAATTTCTACAAAACATCAGAGATCAATCTTGATCGTTATGATCATCATAAACGTTTCATTGCGTGAAAAAAAGCCGTTAGTACAGTCTCTGTGGAATTTTAATGTAGAATACGATCCAGCTATTTTTCCTTATTACGCGAATAATCCTTTGTCAATGTATCTTCCAATCTATCTATGTAACAATCTTTACGTACACCTCTAGAAGAACAAAAGGGAAGCAGCTGTTATATTCTCGTCAGCATCAGAATCGAGACCGAAACCACCTACTTTTTTCAAATCGGAACCAAAACTCGGCCCAGCTTTTATCGTAAAAAACCGTAAATTTTTCCTAGAGTAAATTTCTTCGGTGGCAAAGGGACTGTAGATTGGAATCAACATTTTTTCATGAAACGATACCTTTTCAATTTCTGCAAACTTGTATTGAGTGTCATATTATTACAACCTATAATCATGTCATTTGTCCCAAAAACATTTTCCTATAGTAGAGCAAAGTATGAAATTTTCAACATCATTAAAAAGAAAGTCTCTGTGGATACTAAGTTTCGATTTACAGGGTTGTGAATAATATTATTCCCGGAGGGTATCGCAGTAATTGCAAATAGGATACATAACGAGGTTTATATTAAATGGAAGCTAGTCGAAATGGGACAGATATCGGTGTGAACTTTAAGTGATACTTGCACTCCACATCCACCCTTATTGACAGGACACTCTAATTTTCAATCATTTCAGTTTGTCACACTTTTTTCATAATATTTTTATTTCTACACTAGCTGATATTCTTCAACATATATTCTATGATGCTGTTTGTTTCGTATTACAAACTTCTGACGAAAAAAATATCACACTTGCTAAAGCCAAAGTAAAGTTCTTGTGTATTATGTAGTTGGTATTATTTAAATATTTTAAGGGTATATGGGCAACATCGCAACTCAATCAACAGAAACTAAATCGAGCTTTTGAAGTCAATAATTCTTTTAAGAAAAAAATAATAAAATATTTCTCTTTATTTTATCTAGGATTACCGAAATGTAATTTTATTTCTTTCTGTTACTAAAAGCGAACGATTTCAAGGAATTGCTCGTTTATCTTGTCAATCACGACATACCAATGAAAAAGTTGTTTGGATTTTTCAAGAAGGCAAGAAGGATGTTTCAAATGTTTTTCATATCGATTGGATACCATGGTATGTAATAATATTATATTAAATTCAAATGAATATTTTATATCTTAGCGAACCGTTACGATTTTGTAACATCGAACATTTATTGAATTCGTTAAATGAGAATAAACCGGTTACAATGAGTAGCGACGGTCAGGTAAGGGAGCAGCGTCGACTAACGTTTTTTTTCAAATATTTATGAATGTTTGTATTTGAAGGAAATTGAACTAGATTGTGCCAAAGCGTTATGTCGTTTATTTCGATCGGATCTGAATATTGATATTATGCCAATAGTAACAAAAGCTATAAGCCATAGTAAGTTTCTTCATGACGACAGTAATAGAACAAGCAATGTTACTAATATTCCCTGAAAAAATGATGAAGAAGATAACTGATACGAAACTAGAATTCACACCTTCTCTTATTCTAAGCCGTTCTTTCAAGTAAATCAGGCAAGAAAGACTAGCTAAATCTTTGCTCAGCGTCATCATTATAGTAAGGACAGTGTCTTTTAAAGTGGAGGAGGGCAGTGATCAAATGTTATACTTTATATTGCATCAAAAGCTACGGAATATTCGTTATCTAAGAAACAAACAAAACATTGTTTCTTCTCGAGCTTCTCGAAACAAGAAACTTCATGCTACGTTTGATAAGGAAAATGTTTCTAAAATAGTTGATTTTAACCTTTCAGCTAATACATCAAAGTTAAATGAAAATGAGATATTTATCAGTGCTTTACCGTCGAATATGGACAAACAGATCTTATTCAATACTATACAAGATATGTTTTCTACTGTTGGTCATATCAAAGTAGGGAAAAAGGAGATTCTCTAAGAAGAGTTCAAAGTTGTCTTATTTCGTTGTTAGATTGATCCATTAACAGAGAAATCGTGCATCTATTTATTTCGACGAAAAGATAATATAAACGAACTCACTGGTGAAGCAGCAGTTACATTTGAAAGCCAGAACATTGCCAGAAAAGCATTCGAAAAATACAACGGTAGTATCTTGTGAACTTGGGCGATCAGAAATACAATACATTTCACTTATGTATTTCAGCAAAACATACACCGACTTTGCATGATGCTGAAGTTCGTATGAAGATGGCCGAAACGCAAAACCATGGACAACTATTGAATTGTAAGCATTTAGATAAATGAAATGTTCATTAGTTAGAGAGCTTGTAATTGCGTCTATATCGAATATGTCGCACAAAACTGAGGGTGTGAGTATGGTGAATTTTAAGTGATACTCGCATCCACGCTCACGTTCAGCTTCAACCACAGCCGAAATACATTTAAAAAAGTACTCATTCTCACCCACCCTCATAAATACGAGTAGAACAGCCATTCCCCTCATTATCATGTTTTCTTCGCGAGCCAAAGCTGTTATTCACGCTGAAATATAATATCTAATCTTTATTCTCAACAAATCGCACCTCGCAAGTAACTCTATAATCACAGACACTGTCTATAAACTTCAACTATTCACATTTTCTTATAAATCTACTGTCGTTTTATCGCTTTTTATTAACTAGTTGTATTATCAGTAGAAATATTGTTATGAAAACATGTGTTTTTTTCCATTTCCATTAGATGACAACATGAAAGCAGATAAACATAAAACAAATACATGTGATCAAAACAGTGTTCTACGTATAGAATGTCGAAACGAAGCTTTGGCTGAAGCGGACGAATCGAATGGTAAGTAAAGCTACCCAGTTTGTGGCGTAGGTGGGCGTGGATACAGTTGTACTTCGTCGCTGCATCCAGAGTGACATTCACGCGCGCTCGAATCATTGCCTAAACATGTACGATTTTGCTCAATAACAATAAGGATTATTCTCTTTCGGAAATGATTGTGATGGGATAATGCTAGAGTCCTGCGAGAGCGACAATTTTCCATTCAGTTTCCTGCGGGAATCTGGAACAGAAATGATTTAAAAAACAACGTTCCGTAAAATTGTTTCGTTTTATTTTTGTATACATTGACATTTATTCAAATAGCAGCTTTTTATTTTCAATGACTATTTTAACATATAACTAATGGAAAAGATATTAAATATCGATCAACGAAAATTTGACAAATTCTTATATTGATCATGCAAATCGTAATTTAATAATCAGAATTATCATTTTTTTTATTGCCACAACCTTTGAAAGTGCTATTTTCAGCGTTACCTTGCAATCCAGGATCATCGTTATCGTCTACTGTCAAGTGTTTTGACCTATTTAATGATATTGTCGATGAATTGCTATTTTTTCTCTTGTTTCAGCTGTTCAATTGCTGATAGAAAGAATTCTCTCGCATTTTAAGAAAAATCGGTTTACTACTAAATCTGTATCCAAAGAAAGAACCTTTGAGGTTTCGTATCAACTTACCAAACGTAAAAAGGTTTACCAGATCACCACCTGATCTTTTTTAGGTTCACCTAACTGTTGCAAAACCTCAAACGTTCCTCCAATAGATACAGGTTCAGTAGTAAATCGAATTTTTTAGAGTGCAGGTTCAATAAACAAGAAAACAGTGAAACTCGGTTATGTGACTTGAGAATCTTTGGGAGCGGGAAACGGGGACAGAGGAAAGTTGTTCCTGTAGGACTCCAGATACCGAACACATTTGTGTTCGATCGCGATTCTTAACTTGAAGAGAACACCCATACGCTCGGGATCATGTTGTCTATCAAAGCAAAATCTGGTGTTTACACTGGATACTGAGCGCTACACTTCATTTTCATATGGTTTCAACTATATCAGCAGCACTATAGCGTCAGACAGCCTATTAACTTGGATTACTGATGTTTATTTTCTAGGTTTCTTTCTTTTAATAACGACTTTAACATCTAGTGCTATGTTGATGTAATATTGTATCGTAAACAATTGTCTCGTTCTTTAGTTGCATCAGATGACGATGCGATAGAATACAAAGATGCAGAGATTTTCTTCGATAAAAACAAGGAAAAAGGTGAACAATATTTGAAACAAAAGATGGCTGATGTGAATCTGTCTAATGGTAAGTAAAGTTATGCGTTCACGTACTCATGGTGTGAGTGTAGATGCGGGATGAGTAGCTTCTCATGACTTTCAGAACTACAACCGCATCGACACCCACACCATCAATCAATTTGTGTATTCAAGGGCACAACATATGTATCGTTTGTATTCTAGAAATGTGTGTACCGACGTTAAATAATGCTCGAATCCGTGTGATGCAGTCGGAAATGAAAGTTGATGGATTGCGACGACTAAATCTACAAGCATTATTCTCGAAGTCAGTCGTAGCATGTTCAGGTGAGTATTTGTAGTAGAAATACATTTGTTATTGAGAGTGCTTGCACTGATCTCCAAACCAGAAGTTTGAAGTTGAATTTTTGTTTCCGGTCAACCTGAGAGTATGAGTGTAGATATGGGTGGCGAGTCTGGGTGAATAAGGGTATTAATTTAGATTCATGTTATCCTTACCTACATCCACACCCGGCTATGACATATTTTGCTGTACTTGCAACTACTATACTATTAACTTAATTGCAAGCTGCACAATCTTATTTATTTCGAGGACTTAGAAAATGTGGTTTATTTTTTTTCTTTTCTAGACATACAGCTTAAACAGGAGGAATCTGAAAGCACGTACGATACAGACAGTATTGCTAGTGAATCTGTTGCTGACGATTTAAATGATACAATATTGTTAAGAAAGAATGCGATTTTTATCAGTGGTCTACCATCGACTATGCCGAAGCAACTTCTGTTCGATACACTATATGATGAATTTTGCACTGTTGGTCGAATTAAAGTAACCAACAAGCATATTCTATAAAAATGAATTTTAAGTGCTATCATTTCTTTTCTAGATTGATAAACAAACAAAGAAACCATCCATCTTTCTACTTAAAAGTAAAAGGAATAATGCTCAACTGAGTGGTAATGCAGTGATCACATTCGAAAACGGAAAAGCAGTAGCTGAAGCAATTAAAAAATATAACCGTAATTTCGAATCAAGTTGTGTATTCAAGAGCACAAAATATTAATTTTATGTATTCTAGAAATGCGTGTAACGTCGTTAAATAATGCTCGAATTGGTGTGAAACAGTCGGAAATGAAGCCTCATGCATTACGACAACGACAGCTAGAACTAGTACTACCATTATCAAGTGAGCATTTGTAGTAGAAAAACGTTTGTTATTTAGAGTATTTGCACTAACCTCTAAATCAGAAGTTTGAGATTGTGTTTTTGTTTCCGATCAACTTGAGGGTATAGATGTGGGTGTGACTGTTAGTTCAGATTCAATTTTTCTTTTCCCACACCCACATTCGACTATGCCATGTTTTACTGTACTTCTAAGTACTAAACGTTCAACTTAATTGCAGTCTATATGATCTTATTCATTCTAAAGACTCACAAAATATATTTTCTTTTCTTGATTTTCTAGACCTAGAACGCAACCAGGAGAAATCTGAAAACACAGATGATACAGATAGTATTGCTGGTGAATCTGTTGTTGATGAATCTGTTGCTGGCGATTTAAATAATGCAGTATTGCTAAGAAAGAATGCGATATTTATCAGTGGTTTACCATCAACTATGATAGAGCAGCTTCTGTTCGATACACTATGGGATGAATTTTCTACTGTTGGTTCAATTAAAGTAATCAAAAAGGATATTGTATCATAATAATTTAAAATCTTATTATTTATTTTTAGATTGATAAACAAACAAAGAAACCATCCATCTCTGTACTTAAAAGCAAAAGGAATAATGCTCAACTAAGTATTTTTGCAGAGATCACATTTGAAAACGGAGAAGCAGTAGCAGAAGCAATTAAAAAATATAACCGTAATGTCTAATCAAGTTGTGTATTCAGGAGCACAAAATATTTATTTTATGTATTCTAGAAATGCGTGTAACGTCGTTAAATAATGCTCGACTTGGTGTAAAACGGTCAGAAATGAAACCTGGTGCATCACGACAACGACAGCTAGAACTAGTGCTACCATTGTCAAGTGAGCATTTGTAGTAGAAAAGTGTTTATTGTTGAGAGTGCTTGCACTGACTTCTATATCAGATTATTTGTAATCCTATGTTGGAAAATCTAATATAGTCTGGCTGAGGCTTGTACTACTCACGTCCATCTGATCGGTACACATGCAGATGAAAGGCCTCCTTTCACAAAAAAAATTCTGAATGAAAAAGTAATTTTATTCTGTGTAAATAATTTGTGTGAAAAATTATAATTCAACCAGATGTGTATTCCTCATGTTTACATGAGCGTAAGCGACACAGTCTTGGTAATTTGTATAAATGATCGATTACCGAAAATTTAAAAACAGAAGCTAATTAAAAGTTGCTCTTTTTCTGTGAACGCTATATTTCGTTGGTGCTTTTAAAGTATTCCCTAACTGTCAGCAGTTTTGAGCGGCTGTGAGAAGTCTAAAAAAGTGCAGTGTCACTTCACCGATATAGGAGAACTTTCAACTCTTATAAAGCTCCAGTAAACTAACTTCGTATCCAAATAAGATTCTGGATCTGAACTCGAAGTTTAATCACTAGATTACACGTTTCAAACTTAACTGAATCAATCGCTTCATTATTGAAGAATACATGTAAATTATGATCGGATTATCGCATTGTAGCGAACTGTCTTGTAACGATTTGTCCTAGCGACAACAATATTGTATTTGTTTCCTTTTGCTGTTTCTGCAACCATTGTTGATATATATTTCTAAATCGCTATGATTTAACTGCTGCGCAATGGCTAATGAAAGAAGTGCATTGTCGTTCATTGAAATGTTTCCGATTCCAATTTTTATCATTTAAAAAGTAAAACGATAATGAAATTGGCTTAATCGTTTTTAGAGTGATATCAACATTGTCCGTGTTTAATTTTTGTTACACACACGTATACGTAATATTGAAAAAAAACAATTTGATTAGAGTATTTCTTTGGGCAGCCTTTTTTCTGTTTTCAACAATTGTATAGTATTAGTTTCCAAAAACGTTTTTTAGTAGATGAATAAACAGTGAGAGTATTCCGTCCAAGGTTAAGTTACCTAAGGATATAAAGTATTGTACCATAAAAAATATTTGGTTGAAAATCTTTAACCACTTTTATCACCCCGAATCCTTCGACCCAAAAAACCTCAATAGAGTTTTAGTCGGATGAAGTACTCTTGTAGGGTGCATGGTCGATTGATCTACGCCTTTTTTTGCAGGACCACCTGATCAACCTAGCGGACCAGTAAGTGTTTTTTGGGACATCGAAAATGTGGCTATTCCTGCTGGATTGAAGACCTTCGACATTGTCGAGAAGTTAAGACAACGATTGATGGTAGCCCGGGGTTTAGTAGAACGTGATTTTACAGTTTACTGCAATGCCACCCGCCTGGCACAGCATCATCAAAGTGGTCTAGGGTATGCGAATGTGTGTATTAAGCAGATACCAGATATCAAGGTGGGAGCAGTTGAACGAAATATTGCCATAGATATACGAAAGTTCATAGAACAACAGAAAACACCTGCCACAGTGGTGATTTTAAGTGGAGACATTGACTTCATCCGGGACATAAGCGATCTTCGGTATCGCTATCAACATTATGTCATTGTCGTTCACAATCGGCAAGCAAGACGCGAGCTCTTGAACACAGCTAACGAAGCTTATCCATGGCACGTATTCACGCAGGACTGTGGTAAAGCTACTAATAATATAGGTATTAGCGGAGCTTCACGTGCTACCTTCAAGAAAGCAAACAAAGCTGAGTTTGGAGAAAATCCAGAAAAGTGGGATAAGAGGCATCGAAAAGTTATTCCCGCAGCAAAACAAAATGTCTCTTCCGACACTCATGAAAATACTGGACTGCCAGAAATTGAGTCGTTGATGAGTCTGAATTTAGGTGAAAGTACACTGAATACTACTAATCGTGGATTGACATTACCTTTACCTAATGACGATAACCCGACTGATGCGCATCAAATCATCGTAGGAAACAATTTCGAGTCTTCCATCGAAACTGATGGTTCGGAAACAAGCATGTCTTTCAAAAACAATCAGAACGAGAATGCAAATAGGTATGTATTGAAATAATTGCTAGTGACAAAGTTTTCATGCCTGATACAATTGAAAATTAGTTAGGTTTGTGAAAAATCTTGTTAGCGCAGATCTATAGAGTCGAAATATGGTACTTACATATACTCCCTAATCTCATTAAACTAAGAAACGATACTTAAAGAAAACAAATCTACCCTAGACTGTCGGCTTTTGAGTCTATGGACTTTCTTTGAGTTTAAAATGAATTTCAAAAGAAAAATACATACATTTTTCTCAGAAATACATGAAAATAGGAAGGAGAGGTGTTAAAAACGACCGGTTTCATCACATGGAGCAGGGATCAAATTAACTTTATAATGTGATTAGACTCTAGCTCTTATGAATGGGTGTGGGTGTGAGGTATTCCACATTCTCACCCACACCCTGTTTTGTCGATACCAATTATTTCTAATGACATGTGTTGTGTACATATTTACCTCTTTGATATTCTCTTCTACTTTAAAAATATTTATATATAAACGTAATAAAATAATGTTATACTTTTTTTAGTTTGTACTTCACTAACCATCTAATGGCGTTTTCTAAGAATACAAGGGCAAAATGTGAAAAACCTTTCAGTTTTATTGACAATGAACGAAACGAGACATGCACACAAAGTTCTTTGGATGTAACTGATGAATCTAAGAAATTGTCAATGCTATTTGAAAAGTGTAAGGAAAAGGATCTTGTTACACTTGAAGAAGCTATAGAGCCTATTGCTTTCTGTGTGCCGGGAATGAAACAAATGGCTGAAGAAGCAAAAACGATGTCTAACACTCTTTCAATGTGTGATTTACCCATGGATCAAATATCATCAATCATACTATATACAATGGAGTCGAAAGTTCACGAAGAAAGTGTTTACTACGTTTTGAATCAGGAGCTACGAAAGAAAAATCTTCAAGAACTGGAACCTTGGCTTCTTTATCTGCGATTGATTCTTACTGCACTAGCACACATACCATCAAATATTAACACTATTTATCGTGGAGTTAAAAAGGACATGAGAGAGGAATATCAAAAAGGAAAGATATTATTTTGGTGGCAGTTTAGTTCCTGTACAGCGAGTCTTGGTGTACTGCAGAATGAATTATTTTTGGAAAAAAAAGGGTCAAAAACTTTATTTACAATCCGATGTTACAGTGGCAAAGATATTCGGAAGTATTCTAAATATCAAGCAGAAGATGAAATACTACTTCCAGCTGCAAGACAATTTAAAGTCGTTAGCTGTCTTGACCAAGGTGGAGATCTTTTTCTTGTTCAATTGCAAGAAATTGAATCTCCATTTGTACTTGATTACTTTGGACCTAAATCCATATTTTTATCAACACCGATGGGTAGGATTGCGATAAGTTGTAGTTCTTTTGTTGTCATTAAGTTGACTTGTCTCAGTGAGCGGTAGATAGAAGTCGAACGCAAGTTGAAAATGCGACTAGATAGATGTGGGTGTGAGTAAAGATGATATACAACACTCACACCTATCCGTTGCGTATCTCCTTTGTCTTATATATCTCCCGTACCTCTCAGGTCTACAGTAAGTCTTGTATCTCCTACACTAGTATTTTATTCGTTTTCTGAGAAATTCCAAAAGATAGTTGATCGCTATCTGAACAAATATCCTAAGTCAGTTGAGTTGCATAGTATACGTTAATTTCTATTTAACATTGGTACATATCGTCCCCAACACTACTATTCTAGTGCAGATCTAATTCAACGCATGTTCTCTTTTTAGAAATACTTTCGACAACCGAACAACACCTTGAAATAACCACACGTTGCACAGAGCACGTGCAACTCGTAAAGGTAAATTCAATATAATAATGGGAACATAGCGAAGTATTTGTTGTATAATTTCTTAGTGTCAATCGCCAATTAAATGCATTACTGTGAAACTTGGCTCCAGCTGTTGCAGCGAGTTAGCTGATCTTAGCCTACGGTATGATGATGAAAGCATGGTCAACGAAGGTAGGCATACAAAACGACGTTTTCGTGAAGTACAATCTAAAAGGAGTATGGGAATTTGGACTTTTTCTTGCACAAACATGATAGACATCTTTGTCAACTTTTCGTTTCATCACAGATTACGACAAGTATACCCATGGAAAAATATTAGTGTAAAAATCACGATTACTTTCAATTGTAGACGAAACAGTCCGTTTATTTTGCTAAAACATTTTTCATTTTTTAAAATAATTGGATTAAAACTGATTTCAATTTATGAATCACATCTAGAATAATCCTCTTTTTAAGATTATAATTCATAAAGTAATTTCTAACCGGATTTTAAATGAAAATCAAAGAAAATCTGAAATCTCATAGAATTTGATCAAAGACATTTAATCGATTGAGGGTGTGGATGTTTTATCCTTACTTACAGCCACACCCACGCCCTCACACATGATATCAATTGATAATTAATCATTAAAGGAAAAAATATCGTCAAACTAGGCTGAATGAACCCTTTGAGAGATTATAATCAATTCTGATCGGCAAAACTTTTCACTGGATGAGTCATTCTATATCTACGTTTAGGAAATACATCATTACAAAGAATGACTTTCAAACGGAACATTAATACTTATGTTGGCGCACTCGATATAAAACTTCCTGAAAATAACGACTTACAGATTGTTCCATATAGAGGGTCGTTTGATTGTATCTCGAAAGTATTATCAATCAAAGATAAGCTGATTTATCTCGTCATGTCAAATTCATTGGGTAAATCTGTTGTGCCATTGATACACAAACATCGATGTATTGAGCATATCTATATACTTCAAAATACAGATGACCAGAAAGAAGCTGATTGGATAAAAGACTATTCGAAGATTTGTGATAATGGAACTTCCATCGAGCTATTGTTAAAACTAATCAAACAGGACATTGATTCAGTCGTGCAACGCCCCTCACGCTGGTCAAGATCCAAAACATTA